GGCATGCCCTACCCATGCCGCTATTCATGGCCTCGGCTGTCAATCACCGGGTTCTGGACGGTGATTACTCGCATGCACCTGGTGATCGAGGAGCATTACCGTCAGCTCCTGCACACTGCTTTGTATGCAAACAGTGTGCTTACAGTTGAAAGCACACACGCAGCACACAGTTAACCTTTTGATTGCCCCACATGTTAACCCCTTCCTGCCCAGTGCCATTAGTACAGTGTCAGTGCTTTTTATTAGCACTAATCACTGTATTGGTGTCACTGGGATGTCTGTTCTGTGTGTCCAATCTAAGCATTGATAGTGTGATCTCTGTAACTTACAGTTGTGATGAGATAGTGATAACTTCAACCTCAGTTGGATACCACAGTCAGTGACTCAGTGAGAATGACATCTTGTAGATCTTGTTAAGTTTATTCCATAAACTGAGAGAATCTTACAACAATGAAATTCCATAGGTCAAAAGATCATGCTGTGTCTTTCTCCATGCCATGAGGCTTGCTGCAATGCATCTCTGGGAAGGGGGAGGGCTATCTATGCAACATTAACTAAACCAAAGGAAAGGGAGGAGCAGAGACAAAACACTGAAAACATTTAAAGGCATATGACAGTCATGTGAAACATGACAATGTCAGTGACACCAAGTCAGTTCCCCCCAGTGTCAGAATGCCCGCCTCAGTCCCCCAATCCCGCCATTTCTAGTAAAAATTTTCAAAAATCCAGTATATATACCGCCATTTGTAAACCCTATAACGTTCACATAAACCAATTAATTTACACGTATTGGGATTTTTTTTTAGCAAAGACATGTAGCAGAATACATTTTGATTTTTGATTTTTTTTTTACTGGACATGTTTAATATCAAAAAGTCAAAAAGATAGTTTTTGTTCTCAAAATTATCGGTCTTTTTTTTTTTCAGCGCAAAAAATAAAAAACCCGCACAGGCGATCAAATACCACCAAAAGAAAGATCCATTTGTGGGAAAAAAGAAAGTAAATTTAATTTGGATGCAGCATTGCATGACCGCGCAATTGTCAGTTAAAGTAGCGCAAAATGGCCTGGTCAAGAAGGGGGGGGGGGGGGTAAATCCTCTGGAGGGCAAGTGGTTAATACATCTGGTGAAGGAAGAGCACCTATTGGTGGTGACAATTAAGAAGACACAAGGGTTCATTGTTATTTGTGGTGGACTTTCTTTATCTTGGACTTTATTATTAATTTACTATTTATGATTACATGAATTAGATGTTTATCGCAGAGCAATTATCATTATCATATGAATTAGATATTTATTGCACGGTAATTAATTATTTATTCCACGGTGACACTTTTTGTTGAATAGATGTTCTGCACATAGCACTTTGATTTTTGCACATAGCACTTTGATTTTTTGCACATATCCCTTTGATCTTTGCACATGGCACTTCGAGTTTTTTTTTTAAAACTTGCTATGATTGATATTTATTGTTTGCATGGCAGTACATGACATTTTGAATAATATTTAAAATTTGGTTTTAAGAAAAAGGGGGTGTTGGATAGCTCTGCTTTTTTTTAAGTCATATACATTTATTGGTTTGGAGACCGCCCAAAAAAAAAATAGCTGCTTCCCTTTAACATTGGAATGCCATTTTTGTGTTTTATATCTGTGGCCCGGTCTAGTATTCAACATTTTTTGATAAATAAATAAACACCTTGAATGTATTCATTTACCAGCTGCAAAATACACATGACTTATGCGCGATTAATGATTTGCAAGTACGTACATTTAGTTAAATGGGCTGAACATTCCTTGCTAAATCTCAATTTCATCAGTTACGTAATCCATACACAGATGCCAAGCTTTGTATTCAGAGTACAGAAGGAGTTTTTTTCATTAGAGGTATAAAATGTGTAACAATTTTTCAAAGGAATAGGTCCTAGGAGACGCATTAAACTGCTTTTAAAAAAAGTCTGTATGTGTTCCTGGAGTCATAAAATACAAGCACCCTAGTAAGTTTTATAAGTGATAATATTTTAGAATGTTGATTTGTGGAGTTTCAAATAGCCTTTTCCCTTTTGGAGGAAATTCATCATAGATTATAGGGACTGTTTTATAGTTACATAGTTAGTCTGGCTGAAAAAAGGCAAAAGTCCATCCAGTTCAACCATAGAAAAAAACAAAGTTATAATCCTATACCCACAGTTGATCCAGAGAAAAAAAACCAGCAAAGCATGATCCAATTTGCTCCTGCAGGGGAAAACATTACATTCTTATCCCCCGAGATGCAATCTGATATTCCCTGGATCAGCTTTACCTATAAATGTTAGTATCCAGTTATATTCTGTGTATCTAAGAAATAATCCAGGACTTTTTTTAAAGCAATCCACTGAGCTGTCCAGAACCCTTGAGGGAGTCTATTCCACATTTTCACAGCTCTTACTGTGAAGAAACCTTTCCGTGTTTGAAGGTTAAATGTCTTTTCCTCCAGATGTAAAGAGTGCCCCCTTGTCCTCTGTGATGACCTCAGGGGGAATAGCTATACACCGAGTTCACTATATGAACCACTGATGTATTTATACATGTTGATCATATCCCTCCTTAATCTCCTCTTCGAGAGAGAATACATTCAGTTCCTCTAATATTTCCTCATAGCTGAGCTTCTCCATGCCTCTTATCAGTTTGGTTGCCCTTCTCTGTACTTTTTCATGTTTGCTTTCCTCTACAAGCAGTGCTGGTTCTACTCTATCTTGCGCCCTAGGCAGGACCAGCTACTTGCACCCCCCCCCCCCCCCCATCCCGGCCAAAAAAAATAAAAGCAGTAGAAAATATTAAATCAACAAAACATGAAACTAATACAGTTCTTTTAATTTGCAAAAAATATGTGCCATAAGATGTTAAAGATAAAATCAGTGTCACGGACGGACTGTATCTGTGGCAGTGTGACAGTTGCAGTGAGTGAAGGATGATGGATCCACATTCTGACAGATCCCAGGCTGGAATTCCCCAGGCAATGGGGGGGGAGATAAAACTCTGTGACAGCAGACAGCCCAGCCCACACATACCTGAATTAAGTGATCCCATATAGTGACAGATCCGACACATCACATCACCACCAACACTGACACAGATCAGCAGGCACTAGCAGAGCAGGCTGTGGGATTGTGATGATGTGATCACTCACTGGCACATTGCACATGTGACAGATGGCTGGCTGGCTGGCCGGCCAGGTTACACTCACACATACATCAGAGTCAGACATTACCTTCCTAGGCAGGAGTAGCTCCGCCTTCGCTGCTGAATGGTAAGAGAAAGGTTGGAACCCCATAGTAATCAGCAGCCGCCAGTATGGGACGGAGTATGAGAGGAACACTGGTAGGAGCAGCAGCTCAGCTGCTACACTGGTCCCACACACCTGGCATCTTCCTCTGTCTTCCTCCCCTCTGCTTCCTCTCCCATCAACTGAAGGAACATTCATGACGTGGCGTTCTCCCACAGAGAGAGAGTGCCGGCCTGTGCGGCACCCAGGCGCCCCTAGGTGGCAGCACGCTCTAGGCAGCCACTTGGTTTGCCTAGTGAAGCACTGGTCCTGTCTACAAGATATTTTTTTTACCCTGGATAAGGAAGCCCACCTGCTTGATGGCTCACATATTTTATTCTAGAGGAGGAGACACTTAGGATAGAAATGTAAATATTTTATATTCTTCAGAGTGCTAAACCTGTTGCAGGTTATGTTATGTTGGGTTGGTGAAGGAACTTACAAAGAAAAGTTTGAGACAAGGGGAGGCAGAAAGGACTTCTCTGGCATCACTCCTAAGCTGCTTCATCTAACCCACTCCGGTGTGACTTCAGGTGCAACGTGTGATTTACAGATCGCACCTGAAGTTGCATCTAATGTATTTCTATGGCACTGTCTCAATCAATGTGATTTGAATTAGAGCGATTTCAGAAATGTTTTTCCAATTTCATTGCCACTTGCATTGACTTCTGGTAAATGAAGTCGTAAGCCATGATGAAATTGGAGGTACAAATCATGCTGATCTGCAGCTTTGAAATCATGCTACATCAAGTGAAGTAGTGCGATTTCAAGTTCGCATTGAGTATGAACCAGGGCTATGGCTGACCTTGCCTCTGACTATTCTCTGTCTGCTTCCATAGCACTGACCTTGGCCTGCTACTGGACCTTGAACTGCATGATTCCCAGGTTCCGACCTCAACCTGCATCCTGACTACGCAGTATATGACCCTGGCTCACCTTGACTACATCCCTGACTGTGGTTGTCACCTGCTATCAAGCTACCGGCACCCAAGCGTCTTTGAGCCTTCTACCTCTGTCACCACCATCAGGGGTGCTCAGACCAGAGCCGCAAGGGAAGCCCTCTCATCAACTCAACAACTCGCCTCCAACCAAGGTACGTGACAAGGTCTGTCTGCATTTTTGTTTTTGTTCTGGATGTCTAACTACCACTGCCCATTGCTATGGCTGTTGCTGTCAAGATTTGTCATGCTACTGCCAAAAAAATGAATTAAAATGCAATGGGGTTGATTTACTAAAGGCAAATAGACTGAGTACTTTGCAGTTGCAGATTTACTCTACAAGTGTATTGGCTCCAGAGCTTCGTAAATGAGGTAAAGCTTCACTTTACAAAAGAATACCCAATCTCATTGAAGAAAAAAAAAAACATTTTTACTTGCATATCATCAGATGGATATCAACATAGCTACCCCTCATTTTCTAAGCTCTGGAGCAACTGCACTTGCAAAGTGCAAGGTCCATTTACCTTTAGTAAAGCCATGATCCAATACATTTATCAAAAAGTGCTTAGAACTCACTCAACATGTTTGATAAGTGTATTGAACCATGGCTTTATTGTTTCCACAACTCCAGGAGGCCACACTCTAACTGCTATGAACTCTCACCACCCTACACCCTACAGCACATAACTTCAGCTTTAGCAGAAGGACTTACCGCTTGACATTTTGGGTTGGATGTCCCTATCAGAGATCCCTCTTACATCAGGTGTCCCCATCAGAGTGCCCCTTTACATCAATGTCCCCATCGAGGTCCCCCCTAACATCACAGACCCCATCAGGGTCCCCAATACATTAGAGTCCATCTTAGGAGCCCCCTTTTAAATCTGTGTCCCTATCTGAGTCCAGCTTACATCCTGGTCACCTTCAGAGTTCCCATTTACATTAGGTTTCCATTAGAGACCCCCTTACATCAGGTGCCCCCATCAGAGATCCCCCTTACATCAGGTGTCCCCATCAGAGCGCCCCCTTACTTCAAGTGTCCTCATTAGAGTGCTCCCTTACATCAATGTCCCCATCAAGGTCCCCCATAACATCAAAGTTCTCATCAGGGTCCCCCATACATCAGAGTCCATCTTAGGAGCCCCCCTTTACATCAGGTGTCCCCATTAGAGTGCCCCCTTCCATCAGATGTCACCATTAGAGTGCTCCCTTCCATCAGGTGTTCCCATCAGAGTGCCCCTTTACATCAGGTGTCCCCATCAGAGTGCCCCCTTACATCAGGTGTCCCCATCAGAGTGCCCCCTTACATCAGGTGTCCCCATCTGAGTTCCCCTTTACATCAGGTGTCCCCATCAGAGTCCCCTTTACATTAGATGTCCCCATTAGAGTACCCCCTTCCATCAGGTGTCCCCATCAGAGATCCCCCTTACATCAAGTGCCCCCCTTACTTCAAGTGTCATTAGGGTGCTTCTTTACATAAATGTCCCCATCGAGGTCCCCCCTAACATTACAGTTCTCATCAGGGTTCCCCATACATCAGAGTCCATCTTAGGAGCCCGCTTTTACATCTGGGTCCCCATCTGAGTCCACCTTACATCCATCCCCATCAGAGTCCCCCTTTACATCAGGTTCCATCAGAGCCCCCCTTGCATCAGATGTCCCCATCAGAGTGCCCCTTTACATCAGATGTTTCCATCAGAGTGCTCCCTTCCATCAGGTGTCCCCATCCGAGAGCCACCTTACGTCAGGTGTCTCTATCAGAGTGCAGCATTACATCAGGTGTCCCCATCAGAAAGCCCCTTACATCAGATGTCCCCATTAGAGTGCCCCCTTCCATCAGGTTTCCCCATCAAAGAGCCCCCTTACATCAGGTGTCCCCATCAGAGTGCCCCTTCCATCAGGTGTCCCCATCCGAGAGCCCCTTACATCAGGTGTCCCTATCAGAGTGCCCCTTCCATCAGGTGTCCCCATCCGCGAGCCACCTTACATCAGGTGTCCCTATCAGAGTGCAGCATTACATCAGGTGTCCCCCCCATCAGAGTGCCCCCTTCCATCAGATGTCCCCATTAGAGTGCCCCCTTCCATTAGCTGTTTCCCCATCAAAGAGCCCCTTTACATCAGGTGTCCCCATCAGAGTCCCCCTTGCATCAGATGTCCCCATCAGAGTGCCCCCTTCCATCAGCTCTGCCCCCTATTCAAGTGTCCTCATTAGGGTGCTTCTTTTCATTCAATGTCCCCATCGAGGTCCCCCCTAACATCATAGTTCTCATCAGGGTCCAGGATCATACATCAGAGTCCATCTTAGGAGCCCCCCTTTACATCTGGGTCCCCACCTGAGACCACCTGTTGGAGCTAGTCTGCAGCCCCTACTGTTGAAGTACACTGACACATTTCCAGAACAGCAGAGATTGCTAAGGACAACAGTTATCTACAGCAGCTGAAGTCAGCAGCAACTGTGATCATTGGTACCAGTCACCCACGACGGCAGTTACCATCAGCAACGACATCTCCCACCGCAGAGAGAGGTCAGAGTGTTGGAAGTCGTAGAGGAGGCGTGTGACCATCCCAGGTGAGGCACCTCAGAGATTGCGGAGCATCGACATTTGACAACGGGAAAAAAACTAGCAAAGAGACAGAGCCCCATTCATCATCCCTTCAAGGAGTTAACCCCTGGAGACTGTTCTTTGTGGATGTGGTGAGCAACTGCTAACCAGTGACATGTCAGTCCTTAACTCCTTAGCGGTTTTCCCGAGTGTAGCTCGGGGTAAAATTTGAGTACCAAGAGCGATAACCCCGAGCTACACTCGGGCTTACCATGCGGGCGTTGCTGCAGGGGGTCCCTGCAGCACTTACCTTGTCCTTCGCTCCCGCGATGTGTCCCCTGCAGCGTCCCAGGCCATCTCCTCCGGCCGATGCCGTCTTCCGTGTTCCGGTCCCTGTGACGTCGGGATGTACGGGCGCCAAAACCGGCGGCAAATTTGAAATTTTTAAAAAATGTCATTTTTGCTGTCATTGCTGTTTCAATGCATTTCACTTAATTTTGTCCCTATGCTTTGTCCTGTGCCCTGCCTGCATTTTGACTGTTCTTTCTGCCTGGAAACTTAGAAAAGTCCATGGCGTCCAAAAAGTGTCCCTTTTAGATCAGCTAGTGTCAGTTTTTAGATCAGCTAGAGAACAGCGATAGTAAATCAGAACCACTTGCAGAATTGAGTGATAATGATTCGTGGGGAAATTCGTCATCAGACACTGAAAACGATTTTGCGACTTTGCTCAGCGATGTGCGAATTTGCCTCTGTATTTCAAATTTCAGTGTTTTTGGTTTGATTATATTATTGAATTAAATTCATTATTATTATATTATTATTTTTTATGATTATTTATTAAATTATAATTTATGATTTCGTGTTTCAAGTTTTATCATATCCAAAATGTTTACTAGACTCTTGTTCGGACAGATTTCAGTGAGTTATTCCTAAAAATGACAGCCTACAATAAAAAAAACTACATATTTCCATGCAAAAAAAATTGGTACCACTTTTAGTACAAAAAATCATTGGGAAAAGAATCATACCGCTAGGGAGGTTAAGGGCGCTCCACCGATTCACTAACACAGGCCTGTGCAACACATAGACTCACACAGTGTTACAATCCCACAGTATACAAGTGAATTTGGGACAGAGCCTAAAGAGATGTCAGTTTAGCTGGGGAGATATGGCTGCTATAGTTGCTGGGGGTTAATAGTGATCTATAGCTATACCGGTATATCCGTATATACATGAATATTGTGTTTATTGATGTTATTGTGCTAATTCTAGAAGGTTTGTGTATTCAGTGCATTTAACTGTTATTTTTCAAGTTAATTTGCAGTCTATTTGCAGAGTTTTTTACCTCTCTTATTAAACCTGTTATAAAACTTCCCACAAGGTGTACTGGTGTGCTGTGGATCCAATATATATATGGTTCATCACTGAAGTAAGGACAGAAGTGCCCATTAATATCCAGGGGCTCCTTCGGGGGTGAGCACTACACCCATTACATGGATTGCTATCATCAGAGTGCCTTCTGGACGTGTGAGGGGAACAGCTAAAATCTGAGGGGGCACAGTCCATCCCAGCACCCCCCTTGATCTGGCCGTGCTTAAAACTCAAGTAATAGCAATTTGTAAAAAATATTTACCCTACGTTGTCAAAATAAAGGATATATACAATTATTGCACAACATTCAGCAAAGATAATACACAGAAAAATTCACACAGAAAAATCACCCTAACTGGGATCTCCACTCACAATGAGAAGATGTTCACTGCAGATTATCAATTTGACAGAATGCATTGGTCTGTCATTGGTCTGCTCCTTCTCATTGGTCTGCTTCTCATTGGTTGCTCCTTCTCATTGGTCTGCTCCTTCTCATTGGTCTGCTCCTTCTCATTGGTCTGCTCCTTCTCATCTTGTCCTGTTAACTGTTAAATGGATGTTTTGAACACGTTAAAAGTCTAAGTCCTCAATTCAATTCATTCAGTCTCAAACCCTTGAATAATGAAAGCTTTTTGTTTAGTTGTTAGATTTACTTTAATTATTGTGAATGCCATTGCAACATGTGGGAGATGTTGGCACCAAATAAAACATATCTGAAAAATATACAAAATGATGAGTATGCGTCTTGAATGTTGGTTACCTTTGCACTGCTAAATGATGTGTGTGTTATTTGTTACATTAGTATAAATGCCTTTTAAGTGGTTTACATAAATTCAACAAGAAGGTGAAAGGTTTATTTTTCAGGAGAAATTCCAGCTGTGGGAGTGAGAGCCTTGGCTTGTTCAGCATCTCAGCATTCCAATAGTTTTCAGATTTCCTGTTTGCAGATACATATCTGTAATTGTACGGACAGTTGCAACCAGGCTCATTTTCTGCTTGTAAAACATATACAATTAGGCAGGCAGGCTACAAACAGTATTGGTATGAATTAGGCATCTGAAGAGGTTTGTTAGCTCAGCTTTAGGTTTATGTAGATGGAATAGCATGGAGCTGCTAGACATTGATGACCTACTTTGATTCTTTTTTTTTTTTCAGTTTAAAAATTGTACCCCTTTAAAAGTGACATCCTTCCTTGGATGTCCAGGAAGGAGAGGGCAGCGAATATTTTTTCACCCTTTGGTGGTAGGGATTAAATGATGTGTTCCTTTCCTGGATCTCCACTCTTTATACCCACCCATCTGCTATCCTAAAATACACTGGCTATACTTCCGACCCCTTTCCTTTTAGTAGGGGCACTAGGCAGGGATGTCTCTGGCAACAGCCATATGGAGACCCATCCAGACATTCTGAGGTCTTGAAATAGCGGAATAATACCACAAAGTTATGTTGTTATCCAATGATATTTTAATGTATTGTATGTCTCTTTACCCCGTATATTTTCTTGCCGAGCCTTTTCACTTTTCTTTCTGAATCTGGATCTCACAACTCCATGTCAATGAGAATAAGTCCAAAGCCCTGAACCTTTTGCTTTCTCCGGACCAGCTGCAGAGTGTTCGAAGCAACTATACTTTCTCATGGCCACCCTTCCTACCATACCTCGGTATTCACCTTTCCCCATCCTATCATTCTCTGTTGAAGGCTCATTATCCTCTCTTGTTCAAATGCCTCTCTGGCCTTCTTACATCCTGGGCCACCCCCCAGATCTCCTGGTTCATTAGGATTCATGCCCTCCATATAACATATTTACAAAAACTCTTTTTTTAGTTCTACCTATTCCTATACCAAACCAAATCATGTATGTAAGCTGCTTTGCTTCATTTGGCTAAGTCGGCGACCAAGACTACCTGCTTCAGTACTGTACTGGCGAAGAACATTGCTGCACAAATTACACCTCTTGTTTCCCTTTACGCTACCACAGAAATGCTCATTTGGGCTCACTTGACAATATCGGAATGCAACTCTCCTGTTTTCCTTTAAACTCCTCCCCCTTCTCAGGCCTTCTGTATCTGACTCTGCTTGACTCATTGCGATTGTGGGAATCAGAGAAATTCTCCACCCCCCCGATCTCCCCCATTTTCCTCTTTCAGGCATCCTTGATACTCCCCAATTTCTACCTGCTCATGATAACCTGTTGGTATTCTGTTGATGGTGGGGAAGAGGGACTAAATATGTTTATGAGCTCCTTTCACTTGACGGCATTAAATCTTTTGAATACTTTACGAACACTGGCAACTTCTATCCGTTGAGATTTTCCATTATACTCAAATATACCACTATATCCGTAACCTCCTTAAATGATAAATCAGACTCTCCCAAATGCTTAATTCCATTTGAAAACCACTGCCACAAGGACCCTTCCCTAGTGTCTAATAGTTACACAGCCATAACAAACACCATGGGCCCTGGCACACTTCCCTAGGTCTCCAAGTGGGAAGCAGACCCGGCAAAAACCGAG